ATCTTGCAGCCGCTTAGTAGATAACTCCCTAATTCCCACGGTATTAGAGAGCTATCTACTAAAAGGCTAAAAGACCTAAATTGGTCTTTCAGCCACATTTACTAATACTAAGTAAAGATTACTTAGTATTAGTAAATTCTGCCCCTACTCGCTATGCAGCGAGTAGGGACATGTCTAGTAAGCAGTGAGCAGCCAGTGGCTGCTCACTGTAAAAAACAAACAAAAAAAAACCCTATTGCCCCCACCCCTGTGCGACGGGGGGGCCATAAATTACAATGGGGGGAGGACCTACTGTCCTCCCCCCCTGCCCCCACTCCTGCGCGGTGGGTGGGGGCCATAAAGATAATGAGGGGGGGACCTACTGTCCTCCACCCCCGCCCCCACCCCTGCGCGGTGGGTGGGGGCCATAAAAATAATGAGGGGGGGTCCTACTGTCCTCCCCCCCGGCCCCCACCCCTGCGCGGTGGGTGGGGGCAAATAAATCACAATGGGTGGGACCTAAGGTACTCCCCCCTGGCCCCCACCCCTGAGCGGCGGGTGGGGGCCCTAAATACTAAAAAGGGGGGGGACCTAATGTCCTCCCACCCAGCCCCCACCACTGAGCGGCGGGTGGGGGCCCTAAATAATAAAAAGGGGGGGGACCTAAGGTCCTTCCCCCCGGGCCCCCACCCCTGAGCGGTGGGTGGGGGCAAATAAATCACAATGGGGGGGGACCTAAGGTCCTCCCCCCTGGCCCCCACCCCTGAGCGGCGGGTGGGGGCCCTAAATACTAAAAAGGGGGGGACCTAATGTCCTCCCCCACGGCCCCCACCCCGGAGCGGTGGGTGGGGGCAAATAAATCACAATGGGGGGGACTAAGGTCCCCCCCTGGCCACCCTGAGCGGGGGTGGGGGCCCTAAATACTAAAAAGGGGGGGGACCTAATGCCTAAAAATGTCCCCAGGTGACTAGGGGTCCCCAAACCCCTAGTCACCCCCCCAAAAAAAAATTAACCCCCTACCTACCCCCCTCACCCTAAAAATAATGAGGGGGGGACCTTTAACTAAGTACCTGTAAAAAATAAATAAAACTTACCATTAGATGTTTTATTTCTTCTAAATCTTCTTTTTTCAGCCCCAAAAAAGGCCAAATAAAAAACCATAATAACCGACGCCCAATAGCAGTAAAAAATAATCCATCTTCACCCAGCGAGCAGAGCAATCAGAGTGCTCTGACAGGTAAATGAAGAGACTGACAGGTAAGTCTCTACATTTACCTGTCAGAGCACTCTGATTGGCTGGTTAGAAATCCACCAATCAGAGTGCTCTGTGTCATTTTACACAGCGTGGGAAAGTTCTTTGGAATTTTCCCACGCTGTGTAATTTGACTCATAACTCTAATCCACCAATCAGAGAGTTATGAGTCAAATTACACAGCGTAGGAAAATTCCAAAGAACTTTCCCACACTGTGTAAAATGACACAGAGCACTCTGATTGGTGGATTTCAAACCAACCAATCAGAGTGCTGTGACAGGTAAATGTAGAGACTTACCTGTCATCTCTTCAAGCTACTAGTGAAATCCACCAATCAGAGTGCTCTGTGTCATTTTGCACAGCGTGGGAAAGTTCTTTGGAATTTTCTCACGCTGTGTAATTTGACTCATAACTCTCTGATTGGTTACTTTCAATCCACCAATCAGAGTGTTGTTATGAGTCAAATTACACAGCGTGGGAAAATTCCAAAGAACTTTCCCACGCTGTGTAAAATGACACAGAGCACTCTGATTGGTGGATTTCAAACCAACCAATCAGAGTGCTGTGACAGGTAAATGTAGAGACTTAGAGTCTCTAGAGTCTTAGAGTCTCTTCATTTACCTGTCAGAGCACTCTGATTGGATGGCTTAAACCCCCCAATCAGAGTGCTCTGAGCCTAATTGCAGGGCGGGGCAAGGCTTTATAAGCCTTCCCCCGCCCTGCAGAGCTCAGTCTGCGTGGAGCCCTCGCCGGGTGAAGATGGGTTATTTTTTTTGCATTCGTGTATTTTTTTTTAACTTTTTTTTTTTATTGCGTCGGTTATTATGGTTTTTTATTTGGCCTTTTTTGGGGGCTGAAATATAAGATTTAGAAGAAAGAAAACATTGAATGGTAAGTTTTATTTTTTTTTTACAGGTACTTAGTTAAAGGTCCCCCCCTCATTATTTTTAGGGTGAGGGGGGTAGGTTACATATAGTTACATAGTTACATAGTTACATAGCTGAAAAGAGACTTGCGTCCATCAAGTTCAGCCTTCCTCAGAAATGTTGTTGCTGTTGATCCAAAAGAAGGCAAAAAACCTGGTCTGAAGCACTTCCAATTTTGCCCCAAACTAGGAAAAAATTCCTTCTTGACCCCAAAATAGCAGTCAGATGTCTCCTTGGATCAAGCAGCTATTACCCCACTAATTAGAAATTATATCCCTGTATGTTATGTTTTTGTAAGTATTTATCCAATTTCAGTTTAAACATCTGTATGGACTCTGACAAAACCACCTCTTCAGGCAGAGAATTCCATATCCTTATTGTTCTTACTGTAAAAAAACCTTTTCTTTGCCTTAGATGAAATCTCCTTTCTTCCAGCCTAAATGTGTGACCTCGTGTCCTATGTATAGCCCTGTTTATGAATAGATTTCCAGATAAAGGTTTGTACTGGCCCCGAATATATTTGTATAAAGTTATCATATCCCCTCTCAGGCGCCGTTTTTCCAAACTAAACAGATTTAATTTTTTTAACCTTTCTTCATAACTAAAATGCTCCATTCCTTTTATCAATTTTGTAGCTCATCTCTGGACCCTCTCCAGTGCCATGATATCCTTCTTTAGAACAGGCGCCCAAAATTGCACAGCATATTCAAGGTGTGGTCTTACCAGCGATTTATAAAGAGGCAAAATTATATTTTCATCCCGAGAATTTATGCCCCTATTTATACATGACAAAATCTTACTGGCCTTAGCAACTGTAGATTGACATTGCATATTGCTGCCTAATTTGTTGTCTATAACAATTCCCAAATCCTTCTCGTGTGTGGTTATCCCTAATTCACTACCATTTAGTGTGTAAGTTGCTTGTGCATTCTTAACCCCAAAGTGCATAACTTTGCATTTCTCTATGTTAAATTTCATCTGCCATTTTAGTGCCCAGTCCCCCAATCTATCCAAATCTCTCTGCAGCAAAGCAATATCCTGCTCACATTTTATTACTTTACAAAGTTTTGTGTCATCTGCAAACACTGATACATGGCTTTCAATGCCTATTTCAAGATCATTTATAAATATGTTAAATAGAAGTGGTCCCAAAACAGAACCCTGAGGGACACCACTTACCACTTTTGGTAGGGGGTTAATTTTTTTTTTGGGGGGGTGACTAGGGGTTTGGGGACCCCTAGTCACCTGGGGGGGACATTTTTTTTAGGGCCCCCACCTGCCGCTCAGGGGTGGGGGCCGGGAGGGAGGACATTAGGTCCCCCCCTTTCAGTATTTAGGGCCCCCACCCGCCGCTCAGGGGTGGGGGCCGGGGGGGAGGACATTAGGTCCCCCCCTTTTAGTATTTAGTGCCCACACCCGCCGCTCAGGGGTGGGGGCCAGGGGGAGGACCTTAGGTCACCCACCTTTTTAGTATTTAGGGCCCCCACCTGCCACTCAGGGGTGGGGGCCACGGGGGAGGACCTTAGGTCACCCCCCTTTTTAGTATTTAGGGCCCCCACCCGCCACTCAGGGGTGGGGGCCAGGGGGGAGGACCTTAGGTCCCCCCCCTTCTTTGTATTTAGGGCCCCCACCCACCACTCAGGGGTGGGGGCCGGGGGGGGACAGAAGTTCCCCCCCATTGTTTTTTTTAGGGCCCCCACCCACCTCTCAGGGGTGGGGGCCAGGGGGAGGACAGTAGGTCCCCCCCCATATCATTGAGTAAACTTTGACAACCCCCACCCCCGAGCGGCGGGTGGGGGGGTTGTCAAAGTTTACTCAATGATATGGAATAGGGGGTGGACCGAACATCACATATGTTCGCCCGCCGTGGCGAACGCGAACAAGCGATGTTCGCCAGGAACTATTCGCCAGCGAACTGTTTGGGACATCTCTATTCCCCAGTTTATTTAATGAAACAGAAATATGGCCCTTCAAATATTATCTATTCAAAGAAATGGGCAAAGTTAACTAAGAATAATATAAATCCATGGCCAGTGGTGGGGTCATTAGATCCTTGGGTGTTGTTAAGTTTAAGAACAATGTTGTTAAATGGAAAAAGTCTTTCAAAACTGGAATGGTCTGCATATATTTTATGGCATGAGGAAATTGAAAAGAAAAAGCAAGAATGTCCCCCCCAGTCAGGTGCAACAGGAGGGGCAGGTAAAGGAGAGGGTACTGGTGTTGCCTGTTTGCATCCCTCACTGTACAATTTAAAAAGAAATGTTAAAAATCCTCCGCCTTATAATGATGATGAGGATTTTTTGATTAATCATGAGATTATGAATCCCTCTTTGGGTCACCTCCCCTCAGCAGATGAATGATGCACCACAGCTTGTACCCCAAAATTTAGCTGGTGCCTCAGCCATGTTGCATTGAGGTGGTAGACCTGAGAGGGATATTAGACTGCCTAAAAGATTTGCTGATCATGCTGTGGTTACTATCAGGTTTATCAGGATGTAGCAATGTGGTGCCTGAGAGTGATGGGAGTGAGGCTATGATTTTACCTATTAGAGAAGTGGGACAGATGGATAATGATGGGAGACCACGGAGGATTTGTCAACCGTGGAGCCCACAAGACATAGCATTTTTACAGGTATCATTTCCTGCCCCCTCTAGATCCAAATGGGTTTGTAAAACATTTAAAAATAATGTGTGCCAGCTATTTCCCCACAACATAAGATCTTAATGAGTTAATGGAGATAGTATTAACCCCTACAGAACATACTAAATGGGTGGCAGGTTATAACGAGTCACCTTTCTCATGGCCTGCAGGGGTGGGGGGACAAGCAGTTGCACACATATGGGAAAATTGCCCTGATGAGAGGAGTGATGTTGTCCTTAAGAATTGGTATGCATTCCTCAGCATCAAAGTAAAAACAGTTTTTACCCAGCCTATGGTGAATACCTTAGTGAATACCTTAGTAAATGGTTTGGATGCTAAAGTAAAAAAACAATTGATGTTATCCTTACTGGGATGGCGGGATAAATCACTTAATATTGTATTAAGTGCAGCATCAGAAATTTGACAAGCTATTCAAATCAAGGAAAATGCAAAAGCTGAGCACATAATGCTACAAGCTGAACAAATGCCTGTTAGATATTATGCACATCAGCCAAGACAAAACATAGCCAGAAGACCCCCACAGAATAATGTAAGAACATTTATCAAATGTTTCAATTGTGATGGATATGGTCATATAGCAACAGATTGCAAGGAGGTAAAGGGGGCAAGAAAGCAATTAGAAGAAAAAGACAGACTAGATGTAGAGGAAGATTGGGGTCTGAATATGTATTGTTAGTGTACCTGTGACCCAAGGTCCAGAACCTATGGTACATTTGAAAGTAAATTAATTGTATGTGATACTGAGGGAAGAAGAAGTAAGTGATTTTGGTGGGGAGAGTGTATATTTAGTGGAAGACCAGCATTGCCATCATTGTTTAATTCTGAATGGTCAAGGCTGGGCCTAGAATCTGTATTGGCACTGGTGTGTTCTTCATGTGTTATTTGTTATACAATGCAGGTCAGAGACCTAAGATTAAGCAGCTAAATCATCCTCCCTGTCCATGAGGTCCATTTGTAAATTTACAAATGGACTTCATTGAATTACCAAAGGTAATGCAGTATCAGTATGTGCTAGTAATATTAGATACATTTTCAGGTTGGATCGAGGCTTATCCTTGTTGCCATGCCGATATGTCTACAGTGTCTAAGAAATTGTTACAAGAATTTATACCCAGGTATGGATTACCTCAGCACATTTACTCAGATCAGGGAACACATTTCACAGGAAAAGTAGTGCAACAGATTGCAAAAATCTTGCAAATCCCTTATCATTTACATTGCTCACATCATCCCCAGTCAGCAGGAGCAGTAGAAAGGGCCAATGGAACATTGAAAAATAAAATTGCAAAAATTGTAGCAGAGACAAAGTTAAAGTGGCCTTCCTCTTGCCTTAATGTCTATGAGATTCTCTCCAGCTCGAAAGCATGGGTTATCTCCTCATGAAATTCTAATGGGAAGACCAATGTTCTGTGGGGATATTTATGGGATAATAATAGTAAACAGTGAGAATTGCCCACTAATTCAATTCTCAGATCCCAAAGATCGTTATCGTGTAATTGAAAAGTATTTCATATAAATAAAATCACAATTTGTTATAAAAATAGATTTATTTTTATTGTAACAAATTAACTAATAATAATATGTAACATGCGTGACAATAATCAATAAATATCCAGTATAAAATGATATGCAATACAAAATGGCAATTTTGTACTTCCACTGGTTAACACTGTATAGAATCTACAACATTAGCTGTCAAGAGAAGATTTATGACTGTCTTTCACAGAGAGAAAGAAAAAGTTTCACACAGAGAACAGAATTCTTCAGAGTGCAGCGTAAGGTCGGTAAAGTTTAGCTGACAGTTAGAATAACCCTTTCAATGCTGGCTAGACCTCCTAGGTAATTAAGATCTATTCTTATGTAATTTTAAATAAAATAACATTTAAACCAGTTCATTAGTCATTTCCTGGAACCATCCAATAAGAGAATCTACCATGTTATATAAGCAGAGTTTAATTTGTCTAAAATATATTTTATCTTATATTAGAGCAAATCAATACACCTGGATAAATATCACGATATGCTAACATGTGATATGTCACATAAATACATAATGATTAATTTCTATCTGCAGCATAGAAAGTTCAATAATGTAGTTCTTTAGTAACTAAGATTTCTAAATATGGAAATCTGACCGTGATTTATCCAGTCATATATCATGCTATTAGTAAATTTTAATTAATTTAATTAATTAAATGAAACCAGTATAATTACCAGTTGAGTAGATATTTCATCCGATTGGTAGGTAGTCTCAGGAACTTATTTGGATGTCTCTCTGCATGGAGGTGTGTAGGAATTTCTGAGTGTCCTAGCGTGTATATCTGTCATAGGCCTCTCTGCATTTCTCCCGACTGTTCACTTCTTTGCTTCCTTTGTATACCCTTGTATTCCTCGCCTACCTCTTTCTTCTCTCCTCTCTCTTTTTCTCTCTTCCCTCTGTCTTAACTTTTTAAAGGGAAAATTCACTAGTTGATAGACCAATAGGAACACTGTAGGTGTGGTTACCTTCCAGATAGCAATTTAGTATTTGGTCTATAGAGGGCAGTCTTGTCCCACTAAACATACCTATCCAGGAAAGAGTTAACTTTTCTTGGTGGCTATTTTGACATCATTTTGCTTTATCTTTATAGTTGCCATAACTTACGTTTTCTTTCACTTCAAAGGGTTTTCTCTTAGTTTTGTCCAGACTTAGTGTCCGCTATTCCTGCTATAATTTCTAATATGACAGTTCATAAACTAAGTTTCACCTTAAACTACAATGGGAGATTATACAATATAAAAAGTAAAATTTAATTATTTAATCTTCTCTGTCACAAATGTCTGGGTTTAGAATTGATTATATTCCATTAGCATTTAGACAGTCTGTCCAACCCCCGTTCTCCTTATCACTTGGTTTGTATATACTATGCATTCCTTTAGCTCTGGGAAAGTGGTTAGTTTTACAGATAGAAATCTTGTGTCTTTTGTTAGCTTGAAAATAACAAAATGGAGTCTGCTCTATTTAGAGTGACTCAGCATATACACTTTTAATTTCTATCATAGCACAAGATGTCTGCCGATATAAATACCCTGACAGTTCACAGGAGGGCTACCTCTAAAATTTAATTCTCATGAGATAAATGATGATTTGTTGATGTCATATTGCATGTAGCTAACAAAACGATTAGTCTCCCTATTGCAGGTAAAAGCTGTACAGCGAACAAGTGAATACCAACCTTTGCATGCCATCGCTCCTGGAGATTATGTTATGATAAAAGACCATTCACGAAAGCACACATTGCAACCAAGGTGAAAAGGACCTTGTCAAGTGTTATTAACCACTAATTCAGCTGTTAAATTCGCAGGGGTTAAATCTTGGATCCACATTTCCCATTGTAAACTGACAAGCGCTGGAAAAGATTTTTTCACTGGAAGAAGAATAGAGGACTAAGGAAGCCGTTTTCCCTTCTAAAAAGGGGTACTTTTTAAGGGGAGTATCTTTCTAATCCAAAGTCAATTTTCTTCATGAATCTCAAACTGGTTAAACTTATATTGTCCTTAATGATTGTCATTATGACATTTTTTTTATTTTTCATCCTCTACACTACGTTAGCTTTTTTTTTTTCTTTAATACACGTGTAGCTTGGGCCAGGGAGCCAAGTATTTTTCTTCTTGGGAGATAGATAATCATTTCGTTAAAACAGCTACTGAATTGTAAAAATTGTCAAACAAAAGTAATCATTGTTGGGTTTGTGGGTTTGCTCCGCATTCCATGAACTATGGTTATCCTTTTGTGGGGGTGCCATGGTCTATGGAATCTTTATGGGTCTTTGTGAGAAAATAAGAGCAAATAAAACAGGGTTTGTTGGATTTATTCAGAATGAAGTATCCAAATCTGAGGAACCTGCTAAGGTTCATTTAACATATCCTATTACTAGCGGAGCAGTAGTAATTTCTAACAGGGATCAGAAAAGTCCTGACAAGATTGTTAAGCCTATAAGCAATGCTATTGTTATTTTTGAAAACAATGTCCTTTATAATCTATGTGGGTCTGAAACTAATTCTGCCCCTTGTACTGGTAGATTGAAAGCTTTTTGTTGGAAACCCTTATTAGAAGATATTTTAACAAAATGTCCCATCAAGGATAGAATCCCAGTGATTACTAATCATGTATGGGTAAATTTGACTTCTGAGGTAAAAATCATGGATAATAATTATGATCAGAATGAAAATTTAAATGTCACTATTTTGAGATGGGCCTACTTTAATACTCAAACATTAACTTCCAATCTTTTTATGCTACTGCCCTATATTAATCAACCTATTTTTGACTGCTCAGATTCTCGTGTTATTGATATCCATCTTCCATTTGGGGTATACTATTTATGTGGTAGTTGGGTGGTAAAAAGACTTCCATGTAATTGGGTGGAAACTTGTTATCTAGGTAATATTATCCCAGCATTAACCCTTCATGAAAATTTGCCTGAATGAAGGATGAGGAATAAAAGAAAGATTATTAGTTCCAAAAAGGATAAAACTGAAAGAACTGTAAAATCTGGTGAAGGAGATACGCTATTTGCAGGTTTTGTACCTACATGGGGGGTTATTGAATTAATGTACAAATTAAACTTGTTAGGAGATATACTAGATGAAGCCTTTAATAATACAGGAGATGCTATTGAAAAATTGTCTGCAGAACAGGAACAAGCTTCAGCTATGATTATGCAAAATAGGTTTGCCCTAGATTATTTGTTGGCCTCCAAAGGTGGTGTTTGTGCACTAATAAAAGCAAGATGTTGTTTAAAGATAGATAATGTTACTGGTCAGATTCATACAGATGTAGATAAATTGCATGAAGTACAAATTAAACTTAGAGAAGTTCATGATACTTCTTCGGGAGGTTTAAATTGGGATTTTGACTGAAATTTTGGTTTAACTAATTGGTTGGGAACAATGGGAAAGCGTCTTCTCATTTGAGTTATTTTAGTAGTATTGATGCTTGTGTTTATATATGTTGCAGTGAATGTCCTGAAGTGTGCATGCCGATTGACCCTCAAGAGCTGTTCACCTTCATCTCCCCCTGGCACAATTTCTACTGACTATGTTGAAATGTCTCCTATCCGGTCACAACTCATACCGACTTGGACTACAGACATACTTTCTCATGAAGATATTGATCATGTGCGCATCTATTTGGTAAGTCCTGCAAGTGCTGTTTAAAATCACTAGCTCACTGAATGACCTTCGCTAAACATGGAAGTGTTGCACGGAGCTTTTTGTGGTGAAAGTCCTAGCACCAAAGGGAGGACGGTGAACATATGTAACCTGCTACTGACATGCTGTCAGCCATTTTGCTGTTTATTCATCATCTTAAAATATAATCAAAGAAGAATATTTACTCTAAGAAATAAGAAGAAACTATGTTTTATTGCTACAATTTATTAATGGATGTAGCGGAGATGCAATATTCCCCAGGTTATCTCCGCTTATAATCCAAGTCAGGCTCAGGAACAAGTAAATAGTAAATCCATAGGCAAGGTTTCCAGCAGGTAAAATAACAGCAATAATAATAATCCCCTTATCCAGTACAGTAATTCCCCCCCGTTTCTGGATGTACCCCTAAACATCCCCGGATAGCCCTGATCTGGGTGAACAACATATCCAAAAATCACCCAGATCAGACCAGGGGTTCGGGAAATGTATGGATGGAATAAAATGACCGACCGCACTAACTGAGACAGCCGAATGAGGTTCCATGCGAATGGGCCCTGCGGTCGCTCCTGGCATAAGAGAACAAAATACACGAAAGCCTCTAGCTATAGAGGCTAGGGAGGGTTCGCCTGAATCCCCTCGTTCGGTTCTTTCTATCTACCGAACGAGGGGCCGTTCGGTAGTTAGGAACCGAACGGACCTGGCTTGTGGAGGTCTCAGCGGTGTTCGCCTACTCGAGTGTCCGATTTTAGTTCCAGACACTCGACGGCAAAACACCGCTGTTCGGGAGTTTTAAAATGGCCACGTGTTCGTTTGTCGAATGGCGGCCACCCCCGAGAACAAAGGACAGCTACTTACTAGTCAATTACCCGTTCGCAACAATGTTGCAGCGGGTAATTGAGGACACACTTCACACAGGGGAGGTCTGGTTGTTCGGTAGTTTCATTCGAATGAACTAAGGGAATGAAACTACCGAACAATCAGAGGAATACAATTCTTTTAAAAAAACATATAACACAGCAGATCACACGAATGCAGTTATGTACAATACATTTGCAGGACAGCCTGGTGCCATCCGCTACACTGCTCCCCCTTGCCCACAAGCCGGCATACACAGTCTGATCAAACACAGATCGGCTTGGGGATGTCCGGGGAGGCTCACGGATCATTTCTCTAGGTCAGTTTGTCTTGACAACCCGTCAGCGTTTCCATTCTGTTTACCCGGGCAGTACTGAAATCCCAATACAGACCTTGTATTCATTCTAACTTAACTTTTTGCTCTCTCAACAACAGACACTAGAGTGCCTGGTAGGCGTCCTCCAGCCAAATCTCTTTCCATACTAGTCTCACAAGCTTTGATACCCACTCGTTCAGGGGCTTCTCTCCCAGGAAAGACATTCGCAGAGCCACTTGCCTCTGGATCCGCTGCTCTTCACTGGGGAGCCTCTCACCTCGCTGACGCTGCACATCCACCAAAGTTCCTTTCTGGCGGTCTCCCGGTAGTATATCATAGCCTCTTCTGATAGAGGCCCATCCTGCCTTGTTCAGCCCCCATTTACTCTTCAGGCAGACTGAGAAATACAACTCTTCACTAGGAGAGACTGCATAGACTCATCATGGGAAGACCCCCAGATGGCAGGTGAAGATGGGACCGAGGTCTTTCTACCGGCCCTACAGGGATGCTGGGCAGCCAACCCAGATCCCCAGCGGCAGAGTGAGTTCCAGGGAGAGGAGAAAACCAGTCTCTCTCCCCAGGAGCAGTGTGCCCCCAGGGAGCTGAAGGTGCCGTCCTTCCTCTTCAGCAGCAGAGTGAGTTCCAGGGAACCGAAGGTGTCGTCCTTCCTCTTCAGCGGCAGTGTGAGTTCCAGGGAGCCGAAGGTGTCGTCATTCCTCCCCAGCGGCAGTGTGAGTTCCAAGTAGCCGAAGGCGCCATCCTTCCTCCCCAGCGGCAGTGTGAGTTCCAGGGAGCCAAATTTGTCGTCCGTCCTCCCCATCGGCAGTGTGAGTTACAGGGAGCCGAAGGTATTGTCCTTCCTCCCCAGCAGCAGGGTGAGTTCCAGGGAGACTAAGGTGTAATCCTTCCTCCCCAACGGCAGTGTGAGTTCTAGGGAGCCGAAGATGTTGTCCTTCCTCTCCAGCGGCAGTATGTGTCCTTAGGAGAGGAGACAGTTGGTCACTCTCCCCAGCAGTCCAGTGAATTACAGGGAGACAAAGGTGACATCCTTCCTCCCCAGCGGCAGTGTGAATTCTTAGGAGAGGAGACAGTCGGTCCCTCTCCCCAGTAGTCAAGCGAGTCCCAGGGAGCCGAAGGTGCTGTCCTTCCTCCCCAGTGGCAGTCGGTCTCGCTCACCAGCAGCAGGACAATATATGGAAAGGGGAGACAGTCGGTACCCCCCTCTCCCAGCAGAGAGAGTGTCAAGGAGAGGAGCCGGTCACCCCCTCTCCCCAGCGGCTGAAAGTGTGTAAGGGAGAGGAACTTGGTACCCCCTCCCCCAGTGGCAGTCTATGGTTCAGGGAGAGGAGCTTGTTACCCCCTCTCCCCACCGGCACAGATGGGAGTACGGACAGTCGGTCCTACTCCCCAGCGGCAGAGTATTCTATTGGGAGTGGAGACCATCGGTTCACCTTCCCAGCGGCAGCCTAGCCCACAAAGGGGAGATGCTAAGCCCCACACCAATGCAGATGGGACCGTGGTCTCTGCACATGCATCACGGGGGGTAGGGACGGTCGGTTCTGTCCCCCAGAAGCAGGGTTGTTCATCCAAAGGGGAGACAGCCTGGCTTCCCCTCCAGCAGCAGCCCCAGGTCCGGAGTGAGGAGCCTACTACGCCGTTCCCTCACCTGGGCTCCAACTAGGCTACTCCTGTGGTAGCGCTGACAACAGGTGGTCTCTGCCCACTCAGCAACCCACCGATCCAGAGTGCTAGTACCCCCCCTCAGAGGCGAGGTGGAGCTCCTGGACATGGACAAGCGACCCACTACCCCAGGTGTAGTAACCAATTTTTGTGGGTGGGTTATACTGCGGATTCTGTTTTGTGGGTGGGTTGCTGGACTAACCTGGGCACTGACCGGCAGGAGGTCAGATACCCTGTTAGTCTGGTGGGTAAAGGGGAGAAATGTGATGGAACAGACCTTGCCACGTGTTCTTGGAGGGGGCTGCTTGCCCTCCTCCTACCTTCTGACTATGGCCCTGGGATATATGGCATTTGAAAACACTATTTGTGCTCTGTGACAAAACTGGAGATTGTGCACAAATATGACTATTGTCCATATTTTTTATGATTCCCTTCGTTTGTTGCACTGTTCTCCATGTGTTTCATCTGTTGGTTCTGCTGGATAGCCTACCAGACAAACGGTGGATTTACTGGGTGGCTACCATTTCATGTATCAGAGCAATGGATGAAGCACATGGTAAGAACAATGGATGGCGGCCATTTTAACTCAGAGACACTGTTTTGCCTTTTTGCCAGTATCTTGCCGGTATTTGGTGCACAAAGACATCGTTCAGTAGTTTTAAACTACAGAACAGGGGACACATTTAACAGTAATTATTTTTCATATAGCCTGTATATGTTCTGCGGAATCTGCATTAAACCGTATCTTCCAAACTACTGAACGGCTCTAGGTGAATTTTGGATATGTGGTTAACATAATTATCACAAGCAGGAAAAATACAGATTTTATACATGTGCTATAACTTTAAAAATATACGTCCAATCTTCATAAAAATTACATATTCAGAATCCGCATGCTTGAAATATACACATATTCAAAAATCAGGGCAATCGGTTCAGGGGTTAAAAAGTTAAGGGAAAGTCCTATTTGACCAAATGAAGCATGGTTTTTCTGCCCAAAACCAGTTCCACAGAGTCTTCTATCTGCCCCTAACACCCCCTCCTACAAGGTACACGCTCCCTCAGCTCCAAACGTATTGAAGCTCTACAAAAGACACCTAAACCTGTTACAAAGAAGGAGTTGCTCACCTTCTTGGGTATGATTAATTATTGTCATCAGTGGATACCTGAATGTTCATACTACGACTCAATTTTGAGAATGGTTGTAAAAGGGGACAGCCCAGATTACATCAGATGGTCAGCTGAAATGGATGATGCATATGTGGCACTTAAAGTAGGCATTATGCAGGCCCCAGCTTTAGGACTGCCTAATTATTGTAAACCATTTCATCTTTATGCAAGGGACAACTGTAAAACCATGGCTGTGGTCTGTGCTCAGGAACATGGAGGTGGTATGCGTCCTGTAGCATTTTTCTCCAAAGTAGTCCCTGTTCCGGTTCAGGGGATGCCGGCGTGTCTTAGGGCCCTGGCTGCTTGTGCAATGGCTGTTGAGACTGCTACTACTATCACTCTGGGCCATCCCACTATTCTCCATACATCACACCAAGTGTTACATTTGATCAAGAATCTCACTACACAACACATGACAGCACCTGATAATGTTCAAAGCATATATAATACCAAGTGGTTATGAAATAATTCTCTTAAATTCTACTAATTTACAGATCAAGTATGGCCCTATTAATTCTGGCCCTATGAGTGTACTGCATGCTATCCTTACTCATGACAACCCTAATCTAAGCAAAACTTAGCCAGAAGAACATGACTGTATTCATGCTATACATACACATACCTCCCCACGCTTAGACCTCATGGATAACCCTCAGCCAGGTTCTGAGGATGTGTTTGTGGATGGATCTTGTTCCCGACCTGTTGACGGTCAGTACCAGACAGGGTATGGAGTAGTCCAATTACCTGATAAGGTCCTTGAGGCTAGCTCCATACCCCACATGTCAGCCCAAGCTGCTGAGTTGGTTGCCCTTACACTTGCATGCACTCTATTCCCTAACAAAGATGTAAATATTTACACTGACTCACGATACGCTCATGGGGTTGTGCATGATTTGGAAACAAAGAGGATTCATTGCAGCTGATGGTAAAGGCATTTCTCATAAGACATTAATTGAAGACCTCTTACAAGCTTTACAACTTCCTCGTACAGCGTCTATCATCCACTGTAGAGCTCACACTCAAGGTAGGGATGATTAGTGATGCACCGAACGGTTCGCCGGCGAACAGTTCCTGGCGAACATAGTGTGCTCGCGTCCGCCGCGGACGGCGAACACATCCGCGGTTCGATCCGCCCCCTATTCGTCATTATTGAGTAAACTTTGACCCTGTACCTCACAGTCAGCAGACACATTCCAGCCAATTAGCAGCACACCCTCCCTAGCAGACCCTCCCACCTACTGGACAGCATCCATTTTAGATTCATTCTCAAGCTGCATGCTTAGTGAGAGGAGGGAAAGTGTAGCTGCTGTTGATTAGATAGGGAAATGCATAGCTAGGTTAGGGTATACAGTGTCCACTACAGTCCTGAACGACTCATCTGATCTCTGCTGTAAGGACAGCACCCCAAAAAGCCCTTTTTAGGGCCACTACTCATATCTGGTGTCACAATAGCTTGCATTTAAAAACAAAAAACTTTTTTCACTGTTATAGATTGAATAGCAGTCAGTGTCCTTAAAGCGGGTGTGTCAGGCTCACAGTGGATACTGTGCCCAGTGCCACCACTCACTCACTGGTGTCACAATAGCTTGCATTTAAAAACCCAAAACTTTTTTCACTGTTATAGCTTGAATAGCAGTTAGTGTCCTTAAAGCGGGTGTGTCAGGCTCACAGTGGATACTGTGCCCAGTGCCACCACTCACTCACTGGTGTCACAATAGCTTGCATTTAAAACCAAAAAACTTTTTTCACTGTTATAGATTGAATAGCAGTTAGTTGTCTGCCAGCTTTGTGTCAGGCTCACAGTGGATACTGTGCCCAGTGCCACCACTCACTCACTGGTGTCACAATACCTTGCATTTAAAAACAAAAAACTTTTTTCACTGTTATAGATTGAATAGCAGTTAGTTGTCTCAAAGCGGGTGTGTCAGGCTCACAGTGGATACTGTGTCCAGTGCCACCACTCACTCACTGGTGTCACAATAGCTTGCATTTAAAAACAAAAAACTTTTTTCACTGTTACATAGTTACATAGTTACATAGCTGAAAAGAGACTTGCGTCCATCAAGTTCAGCCTACCTCACATTTGTTTTTTGCTGTTGATCCAAAAGAAGGCAAAAAAAAACAGTTTGAAACACAATTTTGCAACAAGCTAGGAAAAAAATTCCTTCTTGACCCCAGAATGGCAGTCAGATTTATCCTTGGATCAAGCAGTTATTACCCTACATTGAAAGATTATATCCTTGAATATTCTGTTCTTGCAAGTATGCATCTAGTAGCCGTTTGAACATCTGTATGGACTCTGATAAAACCACTTCTTCAGGCAGAGAATTCCACATCCTGATTGTTCTTACAGTAAAAAACCTTTCCTTTGCCTTAGATGAAATCTTCTTTCTTCCAGTCTAAACGCATGGCCTCGTGTCCTATGTAAAGTCCGGTTTGTGAATAGATTTCCACACAATGGTTTGTATTGGCCCCGAATATATTTGTATAATGTTATCATATCCCTCTCAGGCGACGTTTTTCTAAACTAAATAGGTTTAAATTTGTTAACCTTTCTTCATAGCTGATATGTTCCATTCCTTTTATTAATTTTGTAGCCCGCCTCTGCACTTTTTCTAGTGCCATAATATCCTTCTTTAGAACAGGTGCCCAAAATTGCACAGCATATTCAATATGGGGTCTTACCAGTGATTTATAAAAAGGCAAAATTATATTCTAGTCCCGAGAATGAATGCCCTTTTTCATGCATGACAATACCTTACTGGCCTTGGCCACTGCTGATTGACATTGCACATTGTTGCATAGTTTGTTGTCGATAACAATTCCCAAGTCCTTTTCATGTGTTGTTATCCCTAATTCGCTTCCATTAAGGGTATACGTTGCTTGTGTATTCTTTACGATGAAGTGCATAACTTTGCATTTTTCAACATTAAATTTAATCTGCCATTTGAGTGCCCAGTCCCCTAGTCTATCTAAATCCCTCTGCAGCAAAGTAATATCTTGCTCACATTGTATTGTTTTACAAAGTTTGGTGTCATTTGCAAACACTGAAACATGACTTTCAATGCAGTCTTCAAGATCATTTATAAACATGTTAAATAGAAGGGGTCCCAGAACAGACCCCTGAGGGACACCACTTGCCACCTCTGTCCAGCTTGAAAATTTACCATTAATGACAACTCTTTGTACTCTGTTTTTAAGCCAATGTTCTACCCAAGAACAAGCATTTTCATCTAGACCGATTTCCTTGAGTTTGAACACTAATCTATTGTGTGGAACTGTATCAAATGCCTTGGCAAAATCAAATAGATCACATCCGGCAACACCCTGATCTATACTTCTACTTTACTTCAGAGAACGCAATCAAGTTAGTTTGACATGACCTGTGCTTCATAAAACCGTGCTGATTTTTGCTGATAACTATGTTCTTCAAAGAATTCTTGAATATTATCCCTTAATAACCTTTCAAATATTTTACCAGCCACAGAAGTTAAGCTCACAGGTCTATAATTTCCAGGCAAGGATTTTGAACCCTTTTTGAATATAGGAACCACATCTGCCTTCCTCCAATCCTCCGGAACACTTCCTGAAAGAAAAGAATCTTGAAAGATTAAAAACAGAGGTTCACTTATTTCTGCACTTAGTTCCTATAAGTACGCGTGGATGGATACCGTCAGGCCCTGGAGCTTTGTTTATATTAACTTTCTTTAGTTGCTGCAGCACCTTGTCTTGAGTTAACCAATTACAATTATTCTGCAAGTTTTTAGTAGCAATCATTTGCACATCTATTGCCATGGGTTCTTCCTTAATATATACGGAGGAGAAATAGTTATTTAAAATTCCTGCCTTTTCCTGGTCTTCATTAACTAACACCCCGTTTCAGTTTTAGTTTCTGTTATAGATTGAATGGCAGTCAGTGTCCTTAAAGCGGGTGTGTTACGCTAACAGTGGATACGGTGCCCAGTGCCACCACTCACTGTTGTCATAATAGCTTGCATTTAAAAACAAAAAACTTTTTTCACTGTTATAGATTGAATAGCAGTCAGTGTCCTTAAAGCAGGTGTGTCAGGCTCACAGTGGATACTGTGCCCATTTGCCCAGTGCCATGACTCATTTCTGGTGTCACAATAGCTTAAGCTAAGCTCCGCAGATCTCTGCCCGTGTACTTTGCCACTCATATCTGGTGTCTCTATAGCGTGCTTTTACAAAGAAAAAAAGTTTTTCAGTGTAAGCTAATAGCAGTCAGTGTCCTTAATGCGGGTGTCAGGCCTCCTTCAGCGTGTGCTCTGCAGACCTCTACCCGTGTACTTTGCCACTCATATCTGGTGTCTCTATAGCGTGCTTTTACAAAGAAAAAAAGTTTTCAGTGTAAGCTAATAGCAGTCAGTGTCCTTAAAGCGGGTGTCAGGCCTCCTTCAGCGTGTGCTCTGCAGACCTCTGCCCGTGTACTTTGCCACTCATATCTGGTGTCTCTATAGCGTGCTTTTACAAAGAAAAAAAGTTTTTCAGTGTAAGCTAATAGCAGTCAATGTCCTTATAGCGGGTGTCAGGCCTCCTTCAGCGTGTGCTCTGCAGACCTCTGCCAGTGTACTTTGCCACTCATATCTGGTGTCACAATAGCATGCATTTAAAACCCAAAAACTTTTTTTCACTGTTATAGATTGAATAGCAGTTAGTTGTCTCAAAGCGGGTGTGTCAGGCTCACAGTGGATACTGTGCCCAGTGCCACCACTCACTCTCTGGTGTCACAATAGCTTGCATTTAAAAACAAAAAACTTTTTTCACTGTTATAGATTGAATAGCAGTTGGTTTTCTCAAAGCGGGTGAGTCAGGCTCACAGTGGATACTGTGCCCAGTGCCACCACTCACTCACTGGTGTCACAATAGCTTGCATTTAAAAACAAAAAACTTTTTCACTGTTATAGATTGAATAGCAGTTAGTTGTCTCAAAGCGGGTGTGTCAGGCTCACAGTGGATACTGTGCCCAGTGCCACCACTCACTCACTAGTGTCACAATAGCTTGCATTTAAAACCAAAAAACTTTTTTCACTGTTATAGATTGAATATAAAAGTGGCCTCTTTGAGAGAAATATTTCCCACAATCAGAACAAAAATAAGGTCTCTCTCCTGTATGGCTCCTCAAATGATGCTTAAGATGAGAAGCGGCTGAAAAACATTTCTCACACTCAGAACAAAATTTTTTTTTTTTTAACATTCTCTCCACTTTGAACAAAATGACGTTTGGGAAGAGATTTTGTCTGAGTAGGTTTTTCATGTACGATACGGGAACATGATTTAGATCCTTGGTAAGTTTTGCAAGATCCAATAGTGTGTATGAACAGTCAATCCATATCTGCCAAGTGACCCTATGTAGGAGGAACAGTCTCTATTCTGCTCTGTGTCAGTGTGTATCAGGGGCTCTGAGGACAGGTGTCAATCCATATCTGCCAAGTGACCCTATGTAGGGGAAACAGTCTCTATTCTGCTCTGTGTCAGTGTGTATCATGGTCTCTGGGGACAGGTGTCAATCCATATCTGCCAAGTGACCCTATGTAGGAGGAACAGTCTCTATTCTGCTCTGTGTCAGTGTGTATCAGGGTCTCTGAGGACAGGTGTCAATCCATATGTCAAGGTGTCAATATGCCATATGTCAGGTGTCAATCCATATCCATTGTGATTTAGGAATGTTAGGTGATTTATGCCCTTTATGGATTAAGACCAGACTCTGCATCAACTGTGTAATTTTCCATGGGAGTTTTGCCATGGATCCCCCTCCGGCATGCCACAGTCCAGGTGTTAGTCCCCTTGAAACAACTTTTCCATCACTATTGTGGCCAGAAAGAGTCTTGGGGTGTTTTAAAATTCGCCTGCCCATTGAAGTCTATGGCGGTTCGCCCGGTTCGCCGGTTCGCGAACATTTGATATATCCCTAGGCAATTCACTAGCAGATAGAATTGCCAAAGAGGTAGCGTCTCGGACCATTTATTATCGTATGATATTTCCAATTTTTAGTCCACCTACCTGCCCAGAAGAACAGTTGTTGCAAGAACTTCAGGGTTTTGCAACCCATGAGGATATTGCATACTGGAAAAAAACAGGGTTTGGAAAAAGACCAAAATGGCCTTTATTCCAAAGAGGGGAAGATAGGGATACCAGAAAGTAGTGCCCCTATTTTTATTTCCCAGGCACACGGAGTGGGTCACAAGGGTCTTAAGGTCACTTTGGGTCTTATTCAACAACATTTTGTAATTTTAAATCTCTCTCTCCACTGTCAGGTATACTTACAGAGGTGTGTCCAATGCTTACAGACCAATACTACTGTCACACACAAGTCTAGACATGAACACCTCCCACCACCTACAGGCCCTTTCACCCATTTACAGGTAGATTTCACCCACATCCCCAAGACAGGTAAGCGACAACAATACTTACTGGTGATTGTGGATCACTTCTCAAAATGGCCCGAGGCCTTTGTTACTAATAAGGAGGATGCTAGGACTGTGGTGAAAATACTGACCACTGAAATTACTCCTAGGTATGGCTGCCCATTGCAGATCAATTCTGATAATGGCCCTGCCTTTGCTAGCAAAATTACACAGGAACTGGCCAAATGGTTACAGGTTACCTGGAAATTCAATGTACCCTACCATCCCCAGAGTTCAGGTATAGTAGAAAGGATGAATAGGACAATTAAGGAAAAACTGATGAAGGCCACAGATGGCACATGGGTTCACTGGCAAACATAATTACCTGCTATTTTAGCTGAAATAAGAATGACCCCTAACAGGACTACTAAATTGTCACCGTTTGAGATACTCATGGGAAGACCATTTCCTACTCCTTGGGTGAAGGGACGATTTGTTATTATGATTTAGAATTAATCCAGGAAGAGTATGTTAAACAGTTAATTTTTAAACTCAACTCTGTATATGGTGATGTTTCCGTGCAGTTTCCTCTACCCTCACGGGAGCCTACACATCCTTACCAGCCTGGTGATCTGGTCTGTATCCGACAGCTGAACAAGAGCAGGAAGGGAAAGTTTCCTTTTGGCCCCCTACCACTGTGATTTCCGTGACCCGAACCGCTGTGCTCACCGATTCCCAAGATATCTGGATCCATGCATCCCGTCTGAAGCTGTGTCCAAAGAGGGGTTAAGTAGGAGACAAGCTCAAGGCCCTTACTCCGATTGGCCCTGATGACCCAACATCCTTATCTGAAGTGCTATGGCTAAAGTAAACCTATTGGATCCCTTGCATGGGGCAAATCATTTTTTCATCATCCTAATTCTCTCCATGATTCTATTCCTTCTCGTCCTTCTTGATTGTCACTATGATTATGAGAATATGAGAGAGTTCCAGAAAGTCTGTTTCTGGAAAGATCACAACTCCACCAGTTACAGTGTCCAATTAGGCCTTGATCATCCTACTAATAGAACCAGACACAAAAGATCACTACCCACAGACAAGACTTTGCAAACTCACACCAATTGTTCTTCTAAATCAGTATTTTGGTGGAGCCGTGCCAAAGAGACTAGAACACAAGAGGATTTTATATGTAATGGTGGCAAAACCTGCCTTGTACTTAATATTACAACTAATGGTCAAATATGTATTGCTGCAAAGACTGCACAAGTAGTGGTCAAACCATTGCATGATGATTCAGTAAATTGCTCTATAACAATTACTAACACTACTGGTTTTTATACTCTTGCTTGGCTATTTGCAGAGCCTTATCCTTTCACAAACAAAGGGGTTGGTTCAATATTTTATTATTTGCAAAATAATACCAAAAGATACCATCTTAGGGGGTACGGGAACAGCTATGGGAATATTAAATGGTGTAGATATGGAAATAGTAAAGAATAAGTTATCCACGGCAGGGAAAGAATTAGGGATAGGATTCCATGTAATGGCTAAATGGGCCCCTACCATGGTACAATCACAATGGCAGGAATTACAACTAGAACAATCTATGTACACCTATCTAGGTAATCTAACATATGCTATTACTAACCTAACAAAAGGAAGCACTGACTGGACCTTATGTGCCACTAGAGTTTTATGGATGCATCAACAGAGGTTAAGACTAGAGAATACTCTTATGATACCTAAAATACAGAAAGTCAGAGAAATGATGGAATTGACTGACAACTACTGGATTAGTTTAAGGTCAAATGATGTATATTGTGAAGAATGGGTAGAAGACGAGATATCGAGTTATTCATGTAGGGTTGGATTTACGTTATATGAAGTTGCTCCAACCCATATAAAACTAGCATGTAAGTTCTTCACTTTACCTACACCTATGTTTAATATACTTAATAATAATCTTACTTGGTGGAATCCAACTTTTACAGGAGAATATATATTCCCCAAGGATAATAAAACATATTCATTAGAACACCGTGACAAGGCAGATAAAGGTTACACATGCAGACATTCCTCACCCATCTATGAACCATGCTTATTAGCTAATCAAATAAGTAGTTGTACTTGGCATGTATATCCATCGGATTATTCAGTTATGTTAGAAATAGAACCACAAATAGTGTGCCTAGCCAACAACCAACCTGTCAATATTCTCGAAGTTGATAAACATTTATCCTTTGTGGGATGTATATCAAATGCAACCTGGATAAAGTGGAAAGATCATACTTATTTCCTGCAACCTATTCCTAGTATATACAGATCCAAAATATATATTCCACCTGCGTTACCTATCGTTGATTATCAACTTCCCACAGGAATAATAATCAATTTACTAAAAGGAAAGGAGATATGTTTAAACATTTGAAAGCACATAAAGATGCCTTAGTACATACTGAAATATCCACCCACATAGTTGAAAGGGAATTAATTAAAGTTAGTTCTAAAATCCAGGAAAATTTTGCTCATCATTGGTATGATGCCCTCACAGGTTGGTCCCCTACTGGCGCACAAGTTGTAAGGTCCTTTTTCTACCCTCTTGTCATCATTGTGATAATACTTGCAATAATGATATTGTTTAATTGTTATCTAACTTGCACACTTAAGAAACGTGTACAACAGATGATTACAGAAGCTGAAAATCGACAGCTCGATCTCCTCTTAAAGGGAAAACCTATGGCACAGAGCAAATGGGGGAAATCGAGGTGAAGAAATAATGAAAGTCCCACAGACGTGATTAGCACGTCTGAATATACCTCCTTTCATTTCTCTGCCGCAGGCCTCCCATGGATATTCCGTAAGGTAGATCACGATATGATCTAAAGAGAGGAATTGTAGGATATGAATATCCATTTTGCTTAATATCCTAGCTGTTCATATAAGGGTTAATTTGAACCAAGAATAAATTTGGAATTGTATCTCCAATTCTCGGAAATAAAATTTATCTAAAATCCTATTTACGGGAAATGTTATTGGAAAAGGATTTTGTTATGTTCTTGGAAAAGGATTTTTACATGATATGTTCTTGGATAAGGATTTTGGAATGTTCTTGTTAATTGTCCAAGATTTCGGTATTTGTAATCATCTGGGTTTTATCCAATATGCATACATTATATAACATTGAATTATAACTAAAAACAGCTGTTTATAACTTGTGAAAAATAAACTATATCACAATGCTCATGACCCCCACCGACATGAAAATGGGGTATAAATATAACTGACGTATCAATTAAAATTTGAATTGGTTACAGAACACATCTCTTGTCTTCTTGACTGATTCCCAGGATCCTGTTTTACAAAGAGGGTGTGGCTCCGGCAAAATATCCATCTTACAAAGAGGGTTTCGTGTATAGCTGATTTTATCCCCTACAGGAGATAATTGGGAAGTAATCAAATTATCTCCAAGGACAGAGGCAAAACTCCATTAACCACATGGCAGTACAAGACAGTAAAATACAATAAAATACACAAGGTTACATTTATTACATAAAATATAGACATGCAACATATCCCCAGATAGCTTGGATCTGAGCGCAAATTATTACTGAATGGCGCTCAGATCACATACATACAGTTCAATTGCCATGGAGCCAAAATCTTTCACATAGTCTTTCGTTATATGAATGGGCTCCATGGCATAGCTATCTGGGGTAACACTGCTCACATAAGGAAAGTACCGAATAACCCAGTTTTAGGGTCTTTGCAGGGGTAAATCCAGCATTCAACATGGGTCCATAGTCACAGGGCAGGAGGCTGGCAATCAGTCTTTTCCAATGCCCAGTGGCGAGGTTGGTTTCGACACAAACTTTAACACACACCCACAGTTCCCTCCCCTAGCCCTGGAGATTATTAAGTCTGATAAAAGAATAACTTAATTATCTCCGGGCTGAAAAATCACTTTTTTCCCCAATAACTGGATCACCCCTTTATACTTGGGGTATCCCCACAAATAACATGTCCCCTGATAGCCCTGATCTGGGTGACCAACATATTCGAATTTCACCCAGATCAGTTCAGGGGTTCGCAAAATCTATGGATGTCTTCTGTGACCGGCTCACCCTGGGCTGTATGCCCAAAACAGTTCCATGAGTTTGGTGGGTTTTGACGGTCACTTTAGAAATAGCAGAAAAGTGAACAAAGTACCGAATGGATCCCTCTGGCTCCTAGCAGTGTTCGTGCCCCTCTGTCGAATGCACCAAAGTACCGAATAGCGCTCTTCTAGCTATTCAGTAAGTAGAGTTCCAGCGTTCGTCTGTTTGAGACCGGTGTTCGGGAAGTCAAGAGTCCGTTTTCAGTTCTATACACTCGACGACCAAGTCCCGCTACCTTTCTTCGCATGAACAAAGATGGCCACGGTTTCTCTGCCACGTGGCGTTCGGCTGTACGAACGCTGGCCGCACAGACAGAGGTAGCAATTGAATCAGTCTTTGATGTTTAACGAGCCAGAGGGGTGGTCTTTGTTCGGTAGTTACATCTACCGAATGCAATGGGCAGAAATAGTGTAACAAAAAGGAATGTAATGGGCAGAAATAGTGTAACAAAAGGGGGATTTCTTCATAAAATGTCTGGTGTCTAAACTGATTTCTTTATACTCTGTGAAAGACTTATTCTATTTTTCTGAACTATGCTGAACTATTGAACTATTTTTATTTTTATTTTTGTAGAGTTAGCCAGAGAGAGAGGAAGTGTTAGCTGACCCAGGGATGGATGTACTATGTGTGTTTTTGATATATGTTGAGTGTGCCAGGGATGGATTCCCATGTTTTGAGGAACTGCGTGAGGATATGACTGGTTTTGATTGGACTTTTGGAATAGGGAAATGGTTAAAAGATATAGGACGCAAGGTCCTGGTTGTGCAAAAATATAGTTGCTATAAGCCCAAGTTCCATTCTGTCTTAAACATCCATTTTCTATATATCTGTCTGCAAAAGTATTAAGTGTTTTTTGTTTTGTTTTTTTTCTGCTGAGTTTCTGTTTCTTGTAGACCACATGATTGCTTGGGAATGCCATAATGTGGAAATTTCTCTGTCTTGGGAGAATGTTAACCGATGATATGAGCAATATATATTGCTCAAAGAGGGGTAACAATTGTGATTATTGGGGCTCAGTTGGATGGAACACCGGGACACATTGGGGTTATAAGCCACAGAATGCATTAGATAAAAAGGATACGAATGGGAAGTCCCTCTTAACTAGAATGACCTTAACAAAGCCAGGTACATGTACCCCTATAGGGCAAACTGGGCACTCCATGAAATTTACCTTAAATATTGAAAACCCCAGTCCTGGAGATCAAGGTATTTATATTCTCAGTACCTTTTTAAGAGGAGGTATTGGAGGTGATCGAGGAAAAATCCAGTTAAAAGATATATGGAACTCCTCAAAATGGGAAAGCCTCACCTCTAGACAAACTCTTGTTAATCCTCTAAAGCCCCACATTCAAACCCTTGGTGATATGATGGCCATAGCAGATCCCACGTTTGGAGATACCACAGCGTTAGAAACAGGGTATGCAGATACAAACCTATGGCTGGAATGGTTGAGATATAATGCCCATTCCAGCAATAGGTCAAACTGTTATGTATGTGGTAGTGCCAGACCTCATCTAGGAACTGTACCCTTACATGTCCCTGATGAGTACTGGGAATGTTTCCTAAGTTTGTTTTCAGGTATCACTGTTAATACTACAGAATGTGAAGAATGGAAAAAGGGTCACCCTATTGGTGAACCCAAGTTTAATTTAAATGATGTTGTCCCAGTATATCCTGGTAATTATACTTGTTTTCAGGGAAATAATAATGGTAAGGTGGGTACACAATTTGATAACTTTTCTTCAGGATTCTGCTCCGCCTACAGTAATATTACCTTAGTGAATCAAACACAATCTATATAAAAATACGTTCTAGACTCCCCACCCCCTGGAGAGGAGAATGTGCCCCAGCCAAAATAATCATGCCCCTCCATATATTTGGCGACTCTCTCCCTGAAATTAAGGTTGTAACTGATTCCACAAGAAGGAAAAGGGAATCCCCACAAGGTAGTTTCGACCCACATATCTATCTAGATGCCATTGGTATTCCAAGAGGGGTTCCTAATGAATTTAAAGCTAGAGACGAGGTAGCAGCAGGATTTGAATCAATATTTCCCATTATAACAGCTAACAAGAATGTTAACTGGATTAATTATATATATTATAATCAGCAAAGATTTGTAAATTATACACGAGATGCATTACAAGGTCTTGCTGAACAATTACAGGCTACCTCACAAATGACTTTCCAGAATAGAATGGCCCTTGATATGATTTTAGCAGAAAAGGGAGGAGTCTGTAAATTACTTGACTCCGGTGTTTGTTGTACCTATATTCCAGAGAACACTGGCCCTAATGGTAAAGTAACCCTAGCTATAAAGAAATTGGAAGACCTATCCATAGAAATGAAGAGGAATTCAGGTATTGATCACCCATGGGCAGATATGTTTAAGTTTGACAGTATCCTAGACTGGCTAAAGAATATTGCAATACTTATTGTTATGGTTCTGATCCTTGCTCTACTTGTTTATGCTATTTTCAAGATTATTGTATTCTGCATTTACAAACATACACGCAACACTGTTCCTGTAAAATCCCCAGCTTGAAATGATGAGTATCTCCAAATGTATACACATAACCGAAGCAATGGTGAACATACTGATACAGATCTATAAGTTTGTGGTGCTGGTCAGATGCCTAGTCCTATGCTATGGGAATAGTGGCCGAAGACATAATGAAAGACCTGCAGGATTGGCTAGCAATCCTGAATATACCATGGCAGATGGCTGGTTGTCTGACCAGGACTCCTTAAATAGGGTATGAGCAAGATATTGCTCAAAGAGGGGGAAATGAAGGAATATTGACCCCTTATGGACACATGACATGTCATGATTCCCTTTTATTCCAGAAATCTGGTCCTTAAGGGGTTAAACAATTAATCTGTCAGTATTTCAGAACTGCTTGCAAAACATAATTGAAAGGAAGTCACAAGCTATGACAGTTTCTATGTATCAGGAAATGCCTAACCACAATGTATATGTGATATTTTGTAAGATTAGATTATTGAATGTAACAGCAGAAACTGCTTCCTCTTTTATGTATCTTGTGTAACCTTTTTGTAACCTTTTTGTAACCTTTTGTAACCAATATTCGTGACAAGTATAGTATAAATATAGCGAATCTTGAATAAACGATCAGAAGATTATGGAGAGCAAAAAGTGTGTGTCTGGTTAATACGCTTCCATAAAAATCTTCCCTGAATATTCAGCTGACAATCGAGGGTTGGAGAATAGTGACCAGAGGGACCAAGTCACCAGAGTAGCAGATTTACCTTTCACCCGCATGTGCCAGGCTATCATTATGTACACTTGGAGAAGCCCCTTGTGGCGAAACACATTGTGTTTTAATCTAAATAAAAGTATATTTTTTATGACTACCTAATATTTTGGCTAGTCTCTTTAATTTTAAATACTTTTATATTTATCCTAATTTTTTTACCTGGCATATCCGAACATCTGAAGCTTTTGTACCATCCAAAGAATCCATGGTGGGGATTGTTCCACCCAGGCGCTTTACACAGAGCGGTTTGTCTGCTCTGTAAATTGTAAGTACATCTCCTATTTTACCCAGCACTTTTTTAATGTAGAGAGCACTATGGGCCTTCTCTTGTGTTTTTATTTCATATGACCTGCACTGAAAATATCATCAGAGGAATATCCTACATGTACAGAGTTTAAACACCACTGTATGCTGTTTTAACTCGAGCTGGTTATGGCTCCCATTAATGTGAGTTGGCATTTCTTAACCTGAGTGTTGTCTGTGGCCATACTCCTTTAAGTTACTGCACCATTGGTCCCCTCTATGTCTTTTTTTTCTTCATATATGAAGATGAGGATTTGACCCAAGATGTCTTGAGAATTTCTGAAGAATATACCTGTGAATGAGAGACTTTAATTTGCCTGTTTCCCTGGTATGTTTTTCTATTATTTATTTTATTTATCCACTTTGTTCTTGGCGCACCCTATACTTGTTGTTTTCTGTTTTTCCTTAGAGTCGGGTCTGCTCTACTTTCCTCTCCAAAGGTCTAAGGGGTATCCCACGGGATGGGGGACTGGGGGCAAGTCACAGTCTGGGGTAATCTTACCTGAGTCTCCCACACTGGTCTTGCTGTGTCCTTGCTTGTGCGTGGGTGGTCACAGAATGGGCTTCGGTATTGTATGATGGGACATAGGCTGAGGTCATCAGTCCCAGGTAGTTGCCCAAAAGTACTTCCGCAGGCAAATTGTCCATAAACCCCATGTTTACAAGCCCTTCTCCTGCTCCCCAGTTCAAATATACTTTTGCTGTAGGTAACCGATAGACATCCCCCCGGCTACTCGAACTGCTACCACTCTTGTGTTCCGGAATTAGACGGCCCTGCACTAAAGTGATGGTAGCACCTGTGTCTCTCTGTCCCTGAGCAGTGCGACCGTCCAACTGTACCTCCTGTCTGAGGTGCTGGCAGTTGTCCCCAGAGGCTGCATAGACGGGATTGGCCTCATGAAGTGGCCCCAGATGCTTTTCCATTTGGGGCTCCTGGTCCACACAGAGAGCCCTGGCTGATTGATTAGGGCCAGAGTAAGGTGTATGATTATTCCAGGAAGCAGGCTTTAATATAGTAGCCTGGTTGGTTACACCGATGACAGGTTTGTTGGGGTCTGTCATAAGTGTTGCTCGGTGGTCCCAAGTACCTGGTTGACCCAGCTGGCAAAAGTGCTCTGAAATCCGTTCAGGTTTGTGGTCGTGAGTTTTCTCTGAATTCCGTTCGGTGAACGGTTCGTCAAAGGGGTATTCGTGGAGTCAACTGTCATGGTGTTCATCGGATAGTCGGACAGCTGCATTCAGGGTGGTCGGTTGTGGTCCATCAGCCAGGTTCTCCACTTTTGGTCAAGTCCCTCATAGCTGCAACACTTCTTCTGCTGTTACCGCTTGGCACCCTTTAATCCAGTGGGTGGCGACTCTATGTAGTCGATGAGCCCATTGCACATGAGTGTCATTCGGTTTCTTTTTCATCTCCCGAAATTGCCTGCGGTAGGTTTCTGAGGTTACAGCATATCGTCTCAGCAAGGTGTCTTTAACCACGGAACATTGTGTAACTTCTACCGTGTTTAGAGCCCGGAACGCATTGGAGGCACGTCCTGATAACTTTCCAGATAGGATAGTGGTCCATTTCTCGATAGGGATCTAGTGGAGAGCACACTGGAATTCGAAATCCGCTAAGTATTCATTAATCCCCCCTTCGGCTTCCTGAAACAGCTTAAAAGCGGCAAAGGGTACTTTTTTCTTAGTGTTATCGGGAGGTGTTGGTGTTACCACTGGTCCTGGGACGTGCTGTGCGGTAATTCTGTGGATTTCGTGTTCTCTGGCGGCTCTTATTTCGACATCCACCTCGGCCATGAGTTGCGTTATCAGTTCTGCTGAGGGATTCGGCCCATATAGTGGGAGCCTCTCCCTTACAATCCTGGTTCTCTCATTTGCAGAACTAATTGGTGGTTCTGCCATGGTGAAGCTCTGGTCTAGCTCAGTTATCCCTGCGATCAGCTCCCTCTGAGGTCTGTTGCTGGCAGTTCCCCTCAGGCACTCCAATAAATCCTTTAGCGTGGTGCCTTTTAGTCGGTCGTAATTACTCTTCATTCGTTCAGCGCCTCTCCTGGAAATCCAATGACCATCCCACCTCTGCCACCAAATGTTACGGTTGCCCCAGGCTAGCTGGGGGTTGGACTGCTTGGATGTCCTTGTTCCCGATCCTGGAGAGCGGTAGAAAGCATTAATTCCACATTGTGACGATACCTTACCTGTGTCCGCCGATCCCGCGCGGCACGGCAGTTTCCCCAGCTGCTTCCGGGGGGCGGCGCAGCCTCTCGGACGCTGCCCGCTCGCGGCAAAATCCGTTTTATGATGCGGCGCATGCGCGCCGACGTCATAATGATTTTGCCGCGAAAATTCAAACGCGGCCACGCTCCCGAACATTTTGGGGGCGTGGCTTTAAAGTGACACACACACATTAGTATAAAAGGGCATCCCTGTCCACCCCTCAGTGCCCTAGTGTGGTTCTTGATTGTTCCCCTAGTGCTCTTATACTGTTTTGCTGTTTTTCTGGTATTTTGACCCTTGGCTTTCGTTCTGACTATTCTCCTATCTGGCTTCCCGACTTTTGGCTTGGCTTTCTCGTTTATCCCGATTTCTGTACTCCCTTGACCCTCGGCTTTTCTTGACTATTCTTTGACGTTAAGTCCGGCCACCCTAAGGTCCGGTATACGTCCCTTTCTGGGTTACCATCTGTGTGAAGGGGTCACTATCGTGACATTACACTAGGGCCATGGACCCTGCAGGTGCTAATCCTCATGGCCCGGTTCCTGATAATCGGTTTGAGGAACTGGACCATCGTATGGACCAGTTTGCTGTAGCTGTTCAGACCTTGTTAGCTCGGACTGCACATCTACAGCCAGAGGACCATATCCCGGGTCTTAGACCCCAGGAACCTCATTTGGAGATGGCGGCAGGGGGGGCTTCTGCCCATGCCACATCCCCTCTCCGTTATGGAGGTGATCCCAAGGGTTGTCGGGGTTTCCTCAATCAAATAAGTATTAACTTTGAACTTCATCCTAGGGCGTATCCTACCGATAGAGCAAAGATTGGTTATATTATAACATTGTTAGTCGATAGAGCACTAGTTTGGGCCAATCCATTGTGGGAAAACGACAATCCCATAGTTTTCAACTACGCAGAGTTTGTCGCAGCCTTTAGGAGAACATTTGATCCCCCTGGAAGACGTACCAATGCTGCTAAAACCCTATTACGAATGAGACAAGGGTCTCGTTCCCTGGTGGACTATGCCCTAGAATTTCGCACTCATGCTGCAGAGGTCAGATGGAATGAGCAGGCCTTTGTAGATGTGTTTATGAACGGACTTTCTGACAAACTTTTAGATGAGGTAGCCACCGAGACCTGCCTAATGTGTTGGAGGAATTAATTACATATCTAGCACATATAGACGAACGTCTCCGACATAGACAAAACACCAGGGATAGACCTAGGCGTATGCCGGAACGCCTGGCATTAACGTTTCCTTCATCTGAGGAAACCACTGTCGCTCCAGCAGAACCCATGCAACTGGGAGCCACACGGTTGCCTGAACCTGAGAGACAATATAGACGAAGGGAGGGACTTTGTATGTATTGTGGGAAAAGAGGACATACCCGCCTACACTGCCCAAGCCGGCCGGAAAACTCCAACGCCTAAGCCCTCAAGGAGGACAGGCCTTGGGTGTAACGTGTATGTCCTCCTTCCAAGTTAGGAAAGAACTCAGGCTTCTTCTACCGATAACTATAGAATGGGAGGGAAAGTTAATAACTACTTCTGCGCTAATAGACTCTGGGGCAGCTGAGAACTTTATTGACCGTACTTTCGGCCAACATCACAACCTCCCATTTCGAGAAAGATCAACACCCTTGGCCGTTGAGGCCATAGATGGTAGACCATTATCCATTCCTTTTATTACACAAGAATCCAAACCCTTAGTCTTGACTGTAGGTTTGTTGCATAAAGAAACCATAATCCTACAGCAAATACCTTCTCCCACCTTTCCGATTATACTTGGGTTTCCTTGGCTTACCAAGCATAATCCTCTAATTAACTGGGAGAGGAAAGAGATTGTAAAATGGGGTGATTCTTGTTTTAAGGAGTGTATCAGTCGAGTTAAACCTATAGGACTCCTCAACGTTCCTACCATGGAACCATTAACCACTCAAGTACCTGAACCATATCGGGATCTCAAGGCAGTCTTTGAACAAAGGGAAGCAAACAGATTACCACCCCATCGTTCTTATGACTGCGCTATTGATTTGTTGCCTGGTACTATGCCCCCTAGGGGTACCGTGTATCCCCTCTCTGTGACAGAAAACAAAGTACTTGAAGAGTACATCACAGAGAATTTGAAGAAGGGTTTTATTACCAAGTCATCCTCCCCAGCTGGTGCAGGGTTTTTCTTTGTTTCCAAAAAGGAAGGTGACTTGAGACCCTGCATCGATTATCGGGGGATTAAATAAAATAACAATACGAAATGCATATCCTATTCCGCTCATTACTGAGCTTTTTGATAGGTTAAAGGGTGCTACCATATTCACTAAGCTAGATTTACGGGGAGCTTATAATCTAGTTCGAATTAAGAAGGGACATGAGTGGAAAACGGCCTTCAATACTCGCTATGGCCATTATCAATATAGGGTTATGCCCTTCGGCTTATGCAACGCTCCGGCAGTCTTTCAAGATTTCATAAACGATGTTTTAAGGGACTGTCTACAAATGTTTGTTGTTGTTTATCTAGATGACATACTCATCTACTCTAAGAATATCAAGGAGCACCATAGACACGTTAGAATAGTGTTATCCAAATTATTAAAAAACGGACTCTACTGTAAATTAGAAAAATTTTAATTTGACGTGGAGAAGGTTAATTTCTTGGGTTACATAATTTCAGGTTCCGGCATTCAAATGGAACCTGAAAAACTAGAAGCAATTTTAAATTGGCCCCTACCCATTGGACTTAAAGCCATCCAACGTTTCCTGGGGTTTGCTAATTACTATAGAAAGTTTATAAGAGGATTTTCCTCTATTACCGCTCCTATTACCGCTATGACAAAAAAGAATAGAAGTCATACGGTGTGGAGTACCGAAGCTAAGGAAGCCTTTGAAAAATTGAAGCTAGCCTTTTCTTCAGCCCCGGTGTTAAGTCACCCTAATCCTTTGCGTCCTTTTTTGTTAGAAGTGGATGCTTCAGAGACAGGGATAGGGGCTGTACTCTCTCAGAGATCCTCGAATGATCAACCCCTGCATCCCTGTGGCTATTTTTCAAAAAAACTGACGGAAACAGAACGAAGATACGATATAGGTGATAGGGAATTGTTGGCTATCATTTCAGCACTCAAAGAATGGCGGCATCTATTAGAGGGGACATCTGAACCGATCATCATCCTCACTGATCACAAGAACCTTTCCTATTTTGGAGAGGCTAAAAGAATGTCTGACAGGCAGATTCTTTGGTCTTTGTTCCTAACACGTTTTAACTACATAGTGACATACAGACCCGGTTCTAAGAATACGAAAGCAGATGCCTTATCTCGACAACATGAGCACCTATCTCCACCTGTAACCCATTTATCTTCCATAATCCCTACTTCACAAATAGTTGCCACAGTACGTACTAAAATCTCTTCTAGCTTAATAGAAGTATTGTCTAAATGTCAAAACCACAACTCCCTGACTATCCTTCAGGGGAAATTATACGTACCCTTCAATTATAGAAGACGAATCTTATCCTTGGTACACGACTCTAAGATTGCCGGTCATCCCGGGAACCATAAAACAGAAGCACTACTCGAAAAGCAATTCTGGTGGCCTTCTTACAAGAAGGACGTTCGAGAGTATGTCCTAGCCTGTAACATTTGTTCCTCTAATAAGTCTCCTAAAAGTCGCCCTTTAGGCCTCCTCATGCCGTTACCTATTCCCGAAATGCCCTGGTCAAGTATCGCCATGGATTTCATAGTAGACCTACCACCTTCAAAAAATCACCGGGTGATTCTAACTATCATCAATAGATTTTCCAAAATGACCCACCTAGTCCCTTTAATTAAACTTCCTTCATCCTCAGAACTGGCCACGATATTCATAAGGGAGGTGGTTCGTTTACATGGTATCCCTACAGATATAGTCTCTGACAGAGGCTCACAGTTTGTTTCCAGGTTTTGGAAGGCGTTTTGTGATCAGTTAGGTATCAAACTTAACCACTCCTCTTCATACCATCCCCAATCCAACGGAGTTACTGAGAGAATGAATCAGTCACTAGAACAGTACCTTCGTTCTTTCATCTCCGATCACCAAGATGATTGGAAGGAGTTACTCCCTTGGGCTGAATTCGCCCACAATAACTGGGTTCACGAATCAACACAACATAGCCCCTTTTTTATAAATTATGGCTTTGACCCTACTACTCTTCCGAGTTCCTTTTCATCCTCCGCAGTGCCAAGTGTTGACTATACTGTAAGGAATATGAAAGAAACTTGGTTAGGGGTCAAGCGTATCCTGACTCATAAGGCCGATGCTCAAAAAAGTAAAGCAGACACCCGGCGCAAGAATGCTCCGAATTTTATAGTGGGAGATAGAGTGTGGTTGAGTACACGCAATATTAAATTACGAGTCCCCTCTATGAAATTTGCTCCGTGATTCATTGGTCCTTTTAGGATCCTCCAACGGATTAATCCAGTCTGTTATCGCCTGGATTTACCAGCTAATATGAGGATACCCAATTCCTTTCATGTTTCTCTTCTGAAACCTTTACTCGTACACCCAGGTCTCCTCGTTCTACGCTCATTGATGGCCAAAACGAATATGAGGTTAAATCTATTTTAGACTCTCGTATCTCTAGAGGTCGGCTCCAGTATCTGTTGGATTGGAAGGGGTACGGTCCCGAGGAAAGGTCATGGGTAGATGACTCGGACGTGCACGCGCCTCGCCTAGTCCGTTCCTTTGCTAGGCGTCGTTCTCGCAGACCCTGTCCTGCCCGCCCTGGGGGTGGTCCTCGAGGGGGGGGTACTGTGACGATACCTTACCTGTGTCCGCCGATCCCGCGCGGCACGGCAGTTTCCCCGGCTACTTCCAGGGGGCGGCGCAGCCTCTCGGACGCTGCCCGCTCGCGGCAAAATCTGTTTTATGATGCGGCTCTGGTGTCCCCAGAGGCTGCATAGACGGGATTGGCCTCATGAAGTGGCCCCAGATGCTTTTCCATTTGGGGCTCCTGGTCCACACAGAGAGCCCTGGCTGATTGATTAGGGCCAGAGTAAGGTGTATGATTATTCCAGGAAGCCCAAACGTTGTTGAGGGGGCAGGCTTTAATATAGTAGCCTGGTTGGTTACACCGATGACAGGTTTGTCGGGGTCTGTCATAAGTGTTGCTGGGTGGTCCCAAGTACCTGGTTGGCCCAGATGGCAAAAGTGCTCTGAAATCCGTTCAGGTTTGTGGTCGTGAGTTTTCTCTGAATTCCGTTCGGTGAACGGTTCGTCAAAGGGGTATTCGTGGAGTCAACTGTCATGGTGTTCATCGGATAGTCAGACAGCTGCATTCAGGGTGGTCGGTTGTGGTCCATCAGCCAGGTTCTCCACTTTTGGTCAAGTCCCTCATAGCTGCAACACTTCTTCTGCTGTTACCGCTTGGCACCCTTTAATCCAGTGGGTGGCGACTCTATGTAGTCGATGAGCCCATTGCACATGAGTGTCATTTGGTTTCTTTTTCATCTCCCGAAATTGCCTGCGGTAGGTTTCTGAGGTTACAGCATATCGTCTCAGCAAGGTGTCTTTAACCACGGAACATTGTGTAACTTCTACCGTGTTTAGAGCCCGGAACGCATTGGAGGCACGTCCTGATAACTTTCCAGATAGGATAGTGGTCCATTTCTCGATAGGGATCTAGTGGAGAGCACACTGGAATTCGAAATCCGCTAAGTATTCATTAATCCCCCCTTCGGCTTCCTGAAACAGCTTAAAAGCGGCAAAGGGTACTTTTTTCTTAGTGTTATCGGGAGGTGTTGGTGTTACCACTGGTCCTGGGACGTGCTGTGCGGTAATTCTGTGGATTTCGTGTTCTCTGGCGGCTCTTATTTCGACATCCACCTCGGCCATGAGTTGCGTTATCAGTTCTGCTGAGGGATTCGGCCCATATAGTGGGAGCCTCTCCCTTACAATCCTGGTTCTCTCATTTGCAGAACTAATTGGTGGTTCTGCCATGGTGAAGCTCTGGTCTAGCTCAGTTATCCCTGCGATCAGCTCCCTCTGAGGTCTGTTGCTGGCAGTTCCCCTCAGGCACTCCAATAAATCCTTTAGCGTGGTGCCTTTTAGTCGGTCGTAATTACTCTTCATTCGTTCAGCGCCTCTCCTGGAAATCCAATGACCATCCCACCTCTGCCACCAAATGTTACGGTTGCCCCAGGCTAGCTGGGGGTTGGACTGCTTGGATGTCCTTGTTCCCGATCCTGGAGAGCGGTAGAAAGCATTAATTCCACATTGTGACGATACCTTACCTGTGTCCGCCGATCCCGCGCGGCACGGCAGTTTCCCCAGCTGCTTCCGGGGGGCGGCGCAGCCTCTCGGACGCTGCCCGCTCGCGGCAAAATCCGTTTTATGATGCGGCGCATGCGCGCCGACGTCATAATGATTTTGCCGCGAAAATTCAAACGCGGCCACGCTCCCGAACATTTTGGGGGCGTGGCTTTAAAGTGACACACACACATTAGTATAAAAGGGCATCCCTGTCCACCCCTCAGTGCCCTAGTGTGGTTCTTGATTGTTCCCCTAGTGCTCTTATACTGTTTTGCTGTTTTTCTGGTATTTTGACCCTTGGCTTTCGTTCTGACTATTCTCCTATCTGGCTTCCCGACTTTTGGCTTGGCTTTCTCGTTTATCCCGATTTCTGTACTCCCTTGACCCTCGGCTTTTCTTGACTATTCTTTGACGTTAAGTCCGGCCACCCTAAGGTCCGGTATACGTCCCTTTCTGGGTTACCATCTGTGTGAAGGGGTCACTATCGTGACATTACACTAGGGCCATGGACCCTGCAGGTGCTAATCCTCATGGCCCGGTTCCTGATAATCGGTTTGAGGAACTGGACCATCGTATGGACCAGTTTGCTGTAGCTGTTCAGACCTTGTTAGCTCGGACTGCACATCTACAGCCAGAGGACCATATCCCGGGTCTTAGACCCCAGGAACCTCATTTGGAGATGGCGGCAGGGGGGGCTTCTGCCCATGCCACATCCCCTCTTCGTTATGGAGGTGATCCCAAGGGTTGTCGGGGTTTCCTCAATCAAATAAGTATTAACTTTGAACTTCATTCTAGGGCGTATCCTACCGATAGAGCAAAGATTGGTTATATTATAACATTGTTAGTCGATAGAGCACTAGTTTGGGCCAATCCATTGTGGGAAAACGACAATCCCATAGTTTTCAACTACGCAGAGTTTGTCGCAGCCTTTAGGAGAACATTTGATCCCCCTGGAAGACGTACCAATGCTGCTAAAACCCTATTACGAATGAGACAAGGGTCTCGTTCCCTGGTGGACTATGCCCTAGAATTTCGCACTCATGCTGCAGAGGTCAGATGGAATGAGCAGGCCTTTGTAGATGTGTTTATGAACGGACTTTCTGACAAACTTTTAGATGAGGTAGCCACCCGAGACCTCCCTAATGTGTTGGAGGAATTAATTACATATCTAGCACATATAGACGAACGTCTCCGACATAGACAAAACACCAGGGATAGACCTAGGCGTATGCCGGAACGCCTGGCATTAACGTTTCCTTCATCTGAGGAAACCACTGTCGCTCCAGCAGAACCCATGCAACTGGGAGCCACACGGTTGCCTGAACCTGAGAGACAATATAGACGAAGGGAGGGACTTTGTATGTATTGTGGGAAAAGAGGACATACCCGCCTACACTGCCCAAGCCGGCCGGAAAACTCCAACGCCTAAGCCCTCAAGGAGGACAGGCCTTGGGTGTAACGTGTATGTCCTCCTTCCAAGATAGGAAAGAACTCAGGCTTCTTCTACCGATAACTATAGAATGGGAGGGAAAGTTAATAACTACTTCTGCGCTAATAGACTCTGGGGCAGCTGAGAACTTTATTGACCGTACTTTCGGCCAACATCACAACCTCCCATTTCGAGAAAGATCAACACCCTTGGCCGTTGAGGCCATAGATGGTAGACCATTATCCATTCCTTTTATTACTCAAGAATCCAAACCCTTAGTCTTGACTGTAGGTTCGTTGCATAAAGAAACCATAATCCTACAGCAAATACCTTCTCCCACCTTTCCGATTATACTTGGGTTTCCTTGGCTTACCAAGCATAATCCTCTAATTAACTGGGAGAGGAAAGAGATTGTAAAATGGGGTGATTCTTGTTTTAAGGAGTGTATCAGTCGAGTTAAACCTATAGGACTCCTCAACGTTCCTACCATGGAACCATTAACCACTCAAGTACCCGAACCATATCGGGATCTCAAGGCAGTCTTTGAACAAAGGGAAGCAAACAAATTACCACCCCATCGTTCTTATGACTGCGCTATTGATTTGTTGCCTGGTACTATGCCCCCTAGGGGTACCGTGTATCCCCTCTCTGTGACAGAAAACAAAGTACTTGAAGAGTACATCACAGAGAATTTGAAGAAGGGTTTTATTACCAAATCATCCTCCCCGGCTGGTGCAGGGTTTTTTTTTGTTTCCAAAAAGGAAGGTGACCTGAGACCCTGCATCGATTATCGGGGATTAAATAAAATAACAATACGAAATGCATATCCTATTCCGCTCATTACTGAGCTTTTTGATAGGTTAAAGGGTGCTACCATAAATCACTAAGCTAGATTTACGGGGAGCTTATAATCTAGTTCGAATTAAGAAGGGACATGAGTGGAAAACGGCCTTCAATACTCGCTATGGCCATTATCAATATAGGGTTATGCCCTTCGGCTTATGCAACGCTCCGGCAGTCTTTCAAGATTTCATAAACGATGTTTTAAGGGACTGTCTACAAATGTTTGTTGTTGTTTATCTAGATGACATACTCATCTACTCTAAGAATATCAAGGAGCACCATAGACACGTTAGAATAGTGTTATCCAAATTATTAAAAAACGGACTCTACTGTAAATTAGAAAAATTTTAATTTGACGTGGAGAAGGTTAATTTCTTGGGTTACATAATTTCAGGTTCCGGCATTCAAATGGAACCTGAAAAACTAGAAGCAATTTTAAATTGGCCCCTACCCATTGGACTTAAAGCCATCCAACGTTTCCTGGGGTTTGCTAATTACTATAGAAAGTTTATAAGAGGATTTTCCTCTATTACCGCTCCTATTACCGCTATGACAAAAAAGAATAGAAGTCATACGGTGTGGAGTACCGAAGCTAAGGAAGCCTTTGAAAAATTGAAGCTAGCCTTTTCTTCAGCCCCGGTGTTAAGTCACCCTAATCCTTTGCGTCCTTTTTTGTTAGAAGTGGATGCTTCAGAGACAGGGATAGGGGCTGTACTCTCTCAGAGATCCTCGAATGATCAACCCCTGCATCCCTGTGGCTATTTTTCTAAAAAACTGACGGAAACAGAACGAAGATACGATATAGGTGATAGGGAATTGTTGGCTATCATTTCAGCACTCAAAGAATGGCGGCATCTATTAGAGGGGACATCTGAACCGATCATCATCCTCACTGATCACAAGAACCTTTCCTATTTTGGAGAGGCTAAAAGAATGTCTGACAGGCAGATTCTTTGGTCTTTGTTCCTAACACGTTTTAACTACATAGTGACATACAGACCCGGTTCTAAGAATACGAAAGCAGATGCCTTATCTCGACAACATGAGCACCTATCTCCACCTGTAACCCATTTATCTTCCATAATCCCTACTTCACAAATAGTTGCCACAGTACGTACTAAAATCTCTTCTAGCTTAATAGAAGTATTGTCTAAATGTCAAAACCACAACTCCCTGACTATCCTTCAGGGGAAATTATACGTACCCTTCAATTATAGAAGACGAATCTTATCCTTGGTACACGACTCTAAGATTGCCGGTCATCCCGGGAACCATAAAACAGAAGCACTACTCGAAAAGCAATTCTGGTGGCCTTCTTACAAGAAGGACGTTCGAGAGTATGTCCTAGCCTGTAACATTTGTTCCTCTAATAAGTCTCCTAAAAGTCGCCCTTTAGGCCTCCTCATGCCGTTACCTATTCCCGAAATGCCCTGGTCAAGTATCGCCATGGATTTCATAGTAGACCTACCACCTTCAAAAAATCACCGGGTGATTCTAACTATCATCAATAGATTTTCCAAAATGACCCACCTAGTCCCTTTAATTAAACTTCCTTCATCCTCAGAACTGGCCACGATATTCATAAGGGAGGTGGTTCGTTTACATGGTATCCCTACAGATATAGTCTCTGACAGAGGCTCACAGTTTGTTTCCAGGTTTTGGAAGGCGTTTTGTGATCAGTTAGGTATCAAACTTAACCACTCCTCTTCATACCATCCCCAATCCAACGGAGTT